AAAAAAAAAAAAAAAAGCCAAAATAAAACATCCAGATGAATCACTAGAGGGCACCCTCATCCAAAAATTTGACAAAGCCATTTCCTCAACTGGCCCAACTATGCTGATAGAAAACCAAGGGCAGGGGGGTGGTGAAAGAGCATAATGAAGAATAGCCTGATGGATGCTGGGCTTAATACGTAGGTGATGGGTTGAACTTTGCAGCAAACCACCGTGGCACATGTTTACCCATGTAACAAAACTGCAAATGTATCCCAGAACTTAAAGTTGAAAACAAAAAAATTCAACACTTCTAATATTTGGAATTAGTCACAACATACAGGCATTCACGTTAATTTGGTTATCTTAATGCTATATTTTTTCCTTTCATTACAACTCTCAATGACTGCCTTACCTATGCCTACCCCTTTGACTTCATAGATTATACCATTATCCCTTTCCCTCAATGGGTTCCATCTATAATGGCCTCCTTCCTACTCAGTCTCTCTCCAACCTGACACAGTCTTAGCCCTTCCTGTTCTCTCTACTCAGAATGTGTTTTGTGTTTTGTTTTGTTTGTTCTGTTTTGTGGTTTGTTTTGTTGACAGTCTTGTTCTGTTGCCCAGGCTGGAGTGCAGTGGTGCAATCTCAGCTCTCTGCCTCCCAGATTCAAGCAATTCTCCTGCCTCAGCCTCCGGAGTAGCTGGAACGACAGGCGCATGACACCTGCCCCGCTAATTTTTGTATTTTTAGTAGAGATGGGGTTTCATCATGTTGGCCAGGCTGGTCTCAAACTCCTGACCTTCAGGTGATCCGCCCACCTCAGCCTCCCAAAGTGCTGGGATTACAGGTGTGAGACACCACACCCGGCCAGAATGTCTTTTCAATAATTATTCTTTGAATGGGTCCTTCTCATCATTCAGGTGACTCAACTGTCAATTCCCAAAGAAAGATCTTTCCCAACTACCTGACTTTACGTAGCAGCCCTCCAGCTTCCACTCATTTTGTTTTGTCTTCAAAGCATTCCAGAACAATACTACCTGCTTTGTTTCCCTACATTTCTCCCTAGTATGTGGGGTCCGTGAAAGGAAATGTGAGTAAGTACTTTCCTGGTTCACAATGTTAAACCCAAGGCTGAGGTCATATATGACAGTAGCTTGTAAACATCCACTAATTTTTTAATATAAATGAGTCTGAAATAGGACACTTCTGGGTTCAAATCCCAGCTGTCACTTTCTAACTTCTGAGTGAAATCAGGCAAATGATTTAGCCTCTCTGGACCTCTTACTGAGTATTGTAAATCTAGCCTGATTCCCACTCAGAATGCATGCCCAGCCTCGCTGTTCCAGGAGAGCTGTCTCCGGAGCTCAGCAAGGTTAAAGGAAAACCTCTGCCTCCAAAGCCTGGCAAGGGACTGGTGGCAGGAGCTCAGCCCTGCGCTTCAGGTGTCTAAAGGAACACAGATCTTGTTTTTCGTGGAGAAAGGACAAAGCCAGAGGCTGGGCAGCGAACGGGGCCTGCTCACCGCTTGGAGATCTCCTGGTAGCGCAGCTGCAGCTTCGCCTGCAGGTCACGCTGTGGGAAGAGCAGAGGGGAGGTCGGCCTGCAAGGCACCCCAGGAGAGAGGAAAGGAGAAGGCGAGGGACCAGGGATGGCCCGGTGATGAGCATTTTAAGGGAAGGCAGGGGAGGAACACTCGGGGAAAGGGATGTGGGCCCTAAAGGTGAAAGCCGGGGTCCTGGCCCACAAGATCCAAGGCTAAAAAGGTCCTGGATTGGGGAATTCCCAGGCCTGAGTGAGTCCCCGCTGAGGAGAGGGTCCCGGACTGAAGGGGTCAGGAGTTGGGGGTTCCCAAGGAGATTCCGTGGAGAGCGAAGGGTGCCTGCCGGCTTAGGAGGGAGGTGAGAAGCAGGAGCGGATCCGGGACACACGGAGCCCGAAGACCCTCCATGACGCGGCCCTGTCCGCCCCGCGCACCCCAGACGCCCAGTTCCGCAGCCGCTGGACGATACGTGTGGCGGACGCCATCTTCACTTCACGCTTCTGAAAAGCGCCGCCGCTGACGTCTCCACCGCAGGGGCTGCTGGGAAAGACGCGGCGTGGTCTCGCGAGACGATAGTGGGCGGAGCTAGAACGTACTATAAAGGCTCTCCCCGGAGCACGTGATTCCTCTCCGCCAGACCGCTGCCGAGCCGCCATCATGGATACGAGCCGTGTGCAGCCTATCAAGTTGGCCAGGGTGAGATGGGGGCCCGAATTTGGGGGCAGCGGGAGGCAGTAGATGAACCGAGCGGGCCCGATCTAAACCCAGCTTCTTTCCACCAGGTCACCAAAGTCCTCGGCAGGACCGGTTCTCAGGGACAGTGCACGCAGGTAACCGGGTGGGGGCATTTGGCCGGCTCCCGGGGGCCCTAAACCCTGATAGGACCCCTACCCTGCCTTAACCCCTGCCAGCCAGAATTCGGGAACCGATGCTTCTTTCATCCCAGGGCTCTGGTGGCTCCTTTAAGGATCTGTGATCTGGCCCTGACACGTTCTTTGAATTCATAACTGCTTCCCACCCCGCGGCCCGCCCTGACGCCTTCCCCCACTCTCCGGTGGGGACCCGTAGGTGCGCGTGGAATTTATGGACGACACGAGCCGCTCCATCATCCGCAACGTAAAAGGCCCCGTGCGCGAGGGCGACGTGCTGACCCTGTTGGAGTCCGAACGAGAGGCCCGGAGGTTGCGCTGAGTTTGGCTGCTCGCTGGTTAGTGCAAAGAGGAAGGGAGGCTTCGTTAAGCTCAGGGTGAGAGGGCTTGGGAAGCAGAAAGAGAGTCTACAGAGATTGGCAAGAGGGAGGTGGGAGTTTGCCAGTTGCTGCGGGGCCTGTCAGCATCTCATGTTTGGGTCTGTTTACAGGGTTTTGGATGTTGGATTCGACCACTTGAGATGGAAACGGTGTGTCACGATCTGGTCCTTTATTTTATGCTGCCACACATAATTTGAGATGGACCTTTAAATAAAGCCTTTGTGATACAAGTTAACTCGGGTTCTTATCTGTGTGGTGCGACTAGGGATTCTGTTTCTTTAGTAGGTTTCTTGCGTGGCTCCCAGGTGGTCACCGATCCTCCCGCACTCTGGAAATGGTCGTGTTTGTATATATGCACCCTACCCCAAACAAAACACAGGCGTAGTAGGAGTGTTTTATTAGCAAAGACGTTTCCTTGGTCCCCACTTCACCTCGGTGAGGTCAGGGTGAGCCCCTTCCTGCCACAGTCACCCCAAGTGAAACCGCCTTTCTCTTCGGCCAGTGTTAGCCTCTGAGAAGAGGACCCTGGACCCTTCTGTGCGCCAAAGGCTGAGGTGACTGAGGAGATCTTCCCACAGCCAGGTGTAGTGAGCCAGATGGGGCAGCTCACTGAGCCTGGGCGTTCTCTTTGTCACTGCATTCTTCACCAGGTGTGGTACTCTGGGAGCCAGGGGATGACCGTGTCTAGACAGGAGGGGAAAAGGGGCGGGGGTAGAGGCTGCAATCTCCTTCAGGCGGGAAACCTGGGATTCCGCCCCAGCCTCACCTAGCGGATGGGAGCCACGCTGCCTGGTTGGAATCCTACCTCTGCCAGTTCTGACCTGGAAGAGGTGCTTGACCTTTGTTCCCACATCTCCCAGTGGGGCTAGTGCAAGTGTTCCTCAACTTATAATGAAAATATTGCAAGTTGAAATGTGTTTAATACACCTACCAAACATCACAGCTTAGCGTGGTCCATCTTAAGCCTGCTCAGAACTTGTTTGCCTGTAGTTGGGGAAACTCCATCTAACATGAAGCCTATTTTAATAAAGTGTTGAATGTCTCATGTAATGTATTGAATACTCTGGTGAAGTATGGTTTCTGTTAAGTGCACATCACTTTGACACTATCATTAAGTCAAAAAATTATAAGTGGTGCCAGGCATGGTGGCTCACGCCTATAATCCCAACACTTTGGGAGGCTGAGGTGGGTGGGTCACCTGAGGTCAGGAGTTTGAGACCGGCCTGGCCAACAAGGTGAAACCCCATCTCATGCCACTGCTTTGCAGCCTGGGTAACAGAGCAAGACTCTTGTCTTAAAAAAAAAAAAATTAGCTGGGCATAGTGGCATGTGCCTGTAGTTTTAGCTACTTGGGAGGCTGAGGTGGGAGAATCACTTGAACCTGGGAGGTGGAGGTTGCAGCGAGCTTGCGATCACCCCAGTGCACCTCCAGCCTGGGCAACAGCAAGACTCCATCTCAAAAATAAATAAATGTAAGTGGAGCCATGGTAATTTGGGCTCAGCCTGTACAGGATAAGTGGGCTGATTAGACGACTTCGATTATGAAAGTGCTGCAACAGCCTGGCGCTTGCCATCGGAGTATTAGTGGTGTTGGAGGCAAATCATGTGTTCTGCAAACTCACCCAGTCTCCAGTTCTGAAGCTCCGGCCCCCCTTCCCCACCCTGCCAGATGGCAAAGGACTCCTTTTTCCTTGGTAAGAGCCTCCCTGGGAGTAGGTAACAGGAGCCCAGGGAAATGCATAAAAGGTCTTAGCTAGGTCTGTGACCTTAGGTTACTTCCCCCTTAGAGGCCTCAGTCTCATGACCTGGGGTAGCATCAGCCTCACACTGGGGTTTTGCTGCTTTAACATCAAATCCCAAACCCTGCCAGATACTGTTTCACACCGGTAATCCCAGCACTTTAGGATGTTGAGGCAGAAGGATCCCTTGAGCACAAGGTTACAGAGTAAGACCCCATCTCCAACCACCAAAAAAAAACGCCACATAGGAGAATCCAGACACTGGCTCTGCACCCCTGGTGCTACGTTGAGGGAGCAGAAAGGGAGGCCTGGGCCATATTTACTATCCTCTGTAAACTGAATTTGCAGCTGGGAAGGTTTGTTTCTTTGGGAGCTGTGCTCACCTGGGTGTCAGGCTGGCCTGAGCTCAGGTGGGCATGTAGCAGAGCGGCCACCTCATCCTGCTCAGCCTCCAAGGCAATGGCCAGGGCACTGGTGCCTTCCTGAAGAACGTTAGGGACAGTCAGGTTCCTGAGCCAAGCCATAGTCCCGCCCCTCCAGATGCCAGCCCTATTATGGGGTCTTACATTGTCCAGGATGGCAGGGTCGCAGCCTGGCTGGGCAAGCAGCAACCGCACGGTGTCCAGGCGCCCATACTCACTGGCGCACATCAGCGCTGTGGCCCCATCCGCATCCTGTGCATTCACGTCAGCCCCACATGCCAGCAGGGCTGCCACCATGTCCTTTCGGCCGTGGCTGATGGCCAGCATGAGGGCCGTCTGCCCTGTCTGGGGAGTGGGGAAGAAGCGGAGACAGGCTTGGGTAGACTCAGGGAAGGAAAGTCACAGGCTGACTCCCAAAGTGGAAGTGACTCCTGGCTGAGAGCCACAGTGGGGGCATCCACGCACCTGGCTGGCCTTGGCATTGACATTGCCCATGCAGAAGAGTCTCTGGACCACAGCCATGTCCTCCTTCTCCCGCCCCACAGAGGTGAGTGCAGCCAGCATGAGAGGTGAGTAGCCAGCTCGGTTCTGGCGATTGACCTCACAGACCCCTGGGAGAGAGAAGGGGGCCATCCACTGAGATGCCAATACCCCGGCCCAACTTGATCCACCTACCTCCCTGCAGGCCTCAAGTACGGCACCTGCACACTGGGTGTCTCCTTAACACTTCCCCCACGATAGCCACGTGGTTCCTCCCTCACAAGGGTGTTGCCCAAGTATCATCTACTCAGTGAAGGACCTTCTTATTTCTTTTCATCTTTTTTTTTTTTTTTGAGACAGAGTCTCACTCTTGTCACCCAGGCTGGAGTGCTGTGGCATGATCTCAGCTCACTGCAACACCCCGCCTCCTGGGTTCAAGCAATTCTTCTGCCTCAGCCTTCCAAGTAGCTGGGACTACAGGCATGTGACATCACACCCGGCTTTTTATATTTTTTTAGTAGAGACACGGTTTCACCATCTTGGCCAGGCTGGTCTTGAATTCCTGACCTCAAGTGATCCACCCGCCTTGGCCTCCCAAAGTGCTGAGAATACAGGCATGAGCCACCAGCCCAGACCTCACTATTTCAGACCAGGCAGGGACTTGGTTTTGTTTGCTGCTGTATCCCTCAGTGCTTAGAAGAATACCTAGCACACAGTAGGTGCTCAGTTAACATTTGTTGACTGAATAAAATGACAGGTTTATTTTCAGGGCCACCACCCGCCAAGGCACCATTGTTGCTCCCATAAAGAACAGTGCCAGCCTCCACCCTTGTCCCTGAATCCACTCCAGGTTCCACACAGCAGCTGGGATCAACTATTTATTTATTTAGAAACAGAGTCTTGCTCTGTCTCTCATGCTGCAGTGCAGTGGCACAATCTTGGCTCGCTGCAAACTCTGCCTCCTAGGTTCAAACAATTCTCCTACCTCAGCCTCCTAAGTAGCCGGAATTACAGGCACATGCCATGACACCCACTAATTTTTGTATTTTTAGTAGAGACGGGGTTTCACCATGTTGGTCGGGCTGGTCTCAAACTCCTGACCTCATGATCCACCTGCCTTGACCTCCCAAAGTGCTGGGATTACAGGCGTGAGGCACCATGCCTGGCCAGGAACAACAATTTAAAATAAATTTGGTGGCCAGGCGCCGTAGTGCATGCCTGTAATCCCAGCACTTTGGGAAGCCAAGGCGCTGGATCACTTGAGGTCAGGAGTTTGAGACCAGCCCGGCCAACATGGTGAAACCCTGTCTCTACTAAAAATACAAAAAATGGTTGGGCATGGTGGTGGGTGCTTGTAATCCCAGCAACTTGGGAGGCCGAGGCAGAAGAATCACTTGAACCTGGGAGGCAGAAATTGCAGTAAGACCGAGATCATGTGACTGTACTCCAGCCTGAGCGACAGAGTATGACCCAGTCTCAAAAAAAAAAAAAACTGCCAACACCTTGATTTCCAACTTGACCTGTTGTTTGAAGCTGCCCACAGTGATATTTTGATGGCAGCCCTAGGAAGCAAAATAGCCTGGTCAACATTGCCTGTCCTGAATGAAACACAAATGTGAGCTCAGTTTCCTCTGGGATCAGTTCTGCTACCATCCTA